TTCAATAAGTGTTAAAGAAAAAGAGGATAAAACTGAGAAAACTACTACAACTGCTTCACATCCATGTTGTTGTGAATCAGATTTATAAGACAGCATAATATCAAAATAGATTGACACTCTGATAGTGCTGCCACATCTAAAACAGTTTGTCTTCTAGTCCTTTTCACATGTGCAGTCTCCACGGTGCCTGTTATTTCCTTGAACAGTATTGAGAAGAAAGACTGAAATTTACAGCCTTTCTACATATCAGTGTTTCTTTTGGTAATTAGGCAGGTGACCATCAAAAATACATTTAGTGCAAAGACATCTACAAAATGTAAATCATCTGGGAAATGCAGATAAATAATAAAACTTCATATCCACTCACATCAATAGACATGTTTTCAGACAACTCCAAATAAAACACAAATTTCAGTAAAAATTAAACATTTTTTTGGACTTATTTTAAAATGGATATCAAACAATGGGTGTGACACTTAGCTGTGTGTGAAACGATTTTCTGGTCGAATAAAACAAAAATTAGTTCTTTTTAAAATAACAACACTATAAATTTTTTTTCGAATTTTGGTCAGTTTGAAACCGTAAATCAGAGGATTCATAATAGGAGGAATGACAAGAAACTCTAATGCTACAAAGTTTTGAAGGGTCCGAGGCAACTCTTTCGAACCCAGTCGCATACTTATAACATCAGTAAGTATTGCCACAACAAAAGTAAATAATGAGACGAGATGTGGGACACATGTTTGCATGAACTTTGCTCTGTTTTCTATAGACCTGACACATGTTTGAATGATATACATATAGGACCAAACTATAAAAACACCGTGAAGCAAATAAATAATTGTTACAATATTTGCAGATATAGCATTAATTGCAGTTTGTTCTGGAAAACAAGCGAGTTGAACAATACTCCAGTTCATACAGAAGAGTCTGGAAATATACGGGCTGCATAACTTCAGTCTGGATGTTAGAAAGGCATTCACAGCCATAATGCAGAAGGTTGTTAACCACAAAAAACATGCAAACCTAATGACTCTTTGCTTTGACATGATAGAGTGGTACTTCAGGGGCTGACATATGGCCACATATCTGTCATATGCCATGAGTGCAAGAATTGACAGTTCGCCGCAGACAAAAGAAAAAATCACCTTAGTCTGAATAAGGCAACCGTAATATGAGATGAGATGAACATCAGAGAGGAGATCCCAGAGAAATCTGGGGTAAAAACCTGCTGTTCCATAAAGTGCATTCATGCAAAAGACACAGAGCAGAATATACATTGATTCATGGAGGTTTCTGTCCAAGATGATGATCACAATGAGAGAAACATTGAGCAGGCAAATGATGCAGTAACACAACAAACTGAGGAAAAAGAGAACAAACCTGTGACTGATTGTTTCATTGAAACCTGAAAGAACAAACATTGTTATTACAGAAACATTATTCATTGTGATTGAGAGACCTAAGTGAAGCCTAGTCTCTCACTGTATCTGGTCTCTGTTCTCCTCTCTCCTCTATCAGGTACAGATAACAGCAACATGTGAGCTGGGATTTCAAACCAGCCAATCATTGATCTGGAACGAAAGCTCACAGCTTTGGAAAATCACAGGGGAT